GTCAGCAGGTGACAGTGTCCTGATTAGAGTCACTTTTAGACGATCATAAGGATTTGGTAAGGGGCTGTCAAGATCATCCAAAATGCCCTCAATTATTCAGAAGTATACACAGTGACTGAGTTAGATTTAGTTTCTTTTGATTGAATGTGTCCTAGGGCGGACTGGGCCTTGACTTGTGAGAACCGTGGAGATGGTCGATTTTTCCGAAAGGGAGGGAACTGCAGCGTACCTGCTATCTGTGCAGAAGAGTCATTTTCAGCCATGGTAAGATAACTTATATGATACATAGTGGTTGGTAATGTAAAATAACATAGGGAAGTAATAATTATAAAATTTTATGCAAAACATGAAGAACAACAAAACCAGTGAAAGAAACTAAAATATAGACAAACTAGGCCTAAGATATGGCAAATAATGAGATTGGGCTTCACCAGTCATAAGTTACAACATGCCAGCCCTTACTAAACGTAGTTTACCTAATTGCTTGATGAATCAGTAATCTACCTTAGTATAAGTGACAACACTTAAAGCTCAGCCACCAACCACTCAGGGTCTTCAAATTATGACACACAAACAAACTTTGACAGATTATACGGAATAAGTCTGCTGGGAATAAAGTCACAGTGCAGCAATGCATATAACGAAACCCATGTAAGGTCTCTTGGAATGTCCCCACACAATAAGCAGATCAACAAGTCATGGGCATCACATGGCATCAATGATTTTTTATTTAACATATCCCTGTCGGCGCTAACCAAACAACTGGTGAAGATGTTAGCCCTTCTGAACCCGTACCACCAATATCGGCTCCCTATCGAGAAGAAAACGGACATGGGCTAGTACACACGGAATTATTAATCACATCCAATGCTTGTACCAGCATAGGCCAAATAAGAACTACCCAAGTCTCCAACCCACACATGCCTAGAACTACCTCATCCTTAAGTGAATTCAATAATAAAACTCATTATACACTAAAAGAAATAGATAGTTACTCGAAAGACATAGGTGAACATGGTACTGACATTAATTGCAACACAGGGTTGTTATGCCGTGCGGAACCAGTGGATAGTGATCCACACTTGGGCCTGACCGACGAGCTTAAATATTTCAAACACTACTTCAACTCTCAACTGTACCTAATCCTTATTAATGCTAGATCTACCCTAAACAAACTATAGATGCTCAGGGTACACATGCTGGCATATAAACCCTCAGTAATTATTATTACCGAATCCTGGTTTCACTCCAATATACCAGACGAAGAGATAAGCATCGAAGGGTACATACACTTTCGCTGTGACAGGAAGAGTGGTAAGGGAGGAGACTGCCTAATGTACTTCCTGAACACACTTACTGTATTACAGCTAGGAAATAGGAAACTCAATGACATGCACGACACCCTATGGGTGAACGTACACTTGGAAAGTGCTACACTACTAATAGGATGTATCTACAGAGCACCTGGCACCTTTAGTGATTACGAGACACAACTTATAAATGTACTGGAGCAAGTATCCACTCTTCCATACGAGCATAAGATCATATGTGGAGACTTTAACCTACCTGAAATCAATTGGGATTTATTAACAGGCCCAACTAAATATGATAAGCTCTTAGGTACACTGGACATCTTCGGCTGGAAACAAACTGTCACTATCCCTACAAGAGGTGACAATGTACTAGACTTAATATTCTGTCACGATATAAGCCCCGTCTCAATCTTAGTGGGCTCTAAGTTTTCAGGTAGTGACCACAAAACAGTGATGTTTGCTCTGCCACTTCTACGGAGTAGCAATGCAGCTCATACCTCCACTTCACAACAAGTAATATATATAGGAACTATAGTAAGGCAAACTGGGCCTTAGTAGAATCAATGCTAAGATCCTCTGAATGGGGCGAATACTTCACTACTGATGACCTCTCGAAAGCTCTGAGCATCTTCTACCACAACTCAAACACATGCTTAGATGCTGTCATTCCACTCCAGACACTAAAGGTTTCCCCACATAGAAAGTCATTTACAAAACCAAAGGATCGTACGAAACTGAAGAGACTCTCAACTAGTTACTTCACACTAGGTTTAATACTTAACACCCTTAGCTCCATCTCACAAGCTCGAGATTTGCGCATGAGAAACGAAGAATGCACCGCAGTAGTCAGTCCTACTAGAGTGTATGCTCTCACAGAAATCTTATAGAAGCGATTGAGCCGCAAAAATCTCCTCATATACAAAGGTGGGTTATGCACTGATTCTACAGACATGTGTGAATTATTCAACAAAACTTTTTCAGGTACTACCTTAAGCCCTCAGTCCAGTTAATCGATATACACCCTGCTACTAATATGGCACAACTTCCATCTCTACTCATACCAAAACAAATTAGTACTGTTGAATTCACTGATGCTAACATTAACCAAACGATCTCTGTACAGACTGTTTCACTCTGCTGATTACATTAATAAACTACTTCTTCCTAGCACGAATCGATTATTAGTTTACTACAGAACCTAGAAAGGAGGGAGGGTGGCGCATGCTGATCAGCAGATATGGTAGTGGTCACAATTGTGAATCGCTCCAATCTGTAGGACAGCAATATGCCATTTTTGACAGCTCAAGAATTAAACATTAGTCTGGACCCTCAACAAAAAATAAGGGTTGTACACATCTAAATTATAAATAAAAAAGGTGCTTTTGCTCCTGCCATCTACAAGCCTGTTCAGATACTGTCAAGATGCTACCCGTTGGGCCATACAGAAATTCGTGATGCATCTTACGGGTCACCTTGTTCCACGGCTTCTAATTTTCCAGATCTTTGAATTCACTCTTCACTTAAATATCACTTACCTACCTCACAATAATCTTTTTATTTACGCACCATTAAACTATATCTGATCTTAACTACCTAAGCCTTTATTGAAGCTAAAACTCGCTCTTCGTTTATATTTGTTGTTTTATTGTCTTTGATGAAAAACACAACAACACCAATGTTTGAACAAAGCTGTATCTTCATCGAAAACATCATAGTTTCTATGCTTAGACCAATATGGTTAGCATTAAACATTGCAAATGTATACTATCATTTCAAGTACTATGTAGCTTCTTCTTCTTGTATTTATCTTGTAAATATACTTCCAATAATGTATTTTTCATAATTGCATTTTATACCATTTTGCAGCTGCGCAGAATTTTCTTCTTTTCCTGAAATAGCATTCAATCACGTGGCGGCTTAGCACTCACCCAGATATACGCTGTTCACTGGTTGACCATAACTATCAGCAGGAAACGGAACGAAGTTTGGGTTGTCGCTCAACTTTGATGGTGACCTTGGTAAACGGTTTACAATTTAACATTTATAAGAACCTGTTCTGATTGCTTGTACAATAACTGAACAATTCAAACTTTTGAAAAATTATTAATTTATGATACTTCAGGATTGTAATTTATAACATTACTGATCGTGCCTTTAAAAATGGCATGCATTTCTTGTAAACTTACCCGTTTATACGAAATGCTAATTATTATTGTTATAAAACAACGCTGTTAAATACCCTAATTACTCTATAAACGATAAATAAAATAGTCGCGTAGATGCATAAAAAGACTAAGTAGAAATATATGTGTTTACTAAATTACAATGTACAACGAAATTAAACATATTAGTACAAACACTAGTCGAGAGCACACACATTTTATTTGCTCTGTGGTACTTTGCTGCTCTCCTCTTCTCTTGTATTTGCTTTGTAGCAGAAGTTGAACAGATCTACATTCAAACTGAAGCTGAGAAACAATTGAAATCACTTACTCATATATCATCCTTCAAATTTCGGCTAGCTCACAGATACGGTTCACGGCTTTGTTATGTACGCTGGCAATAATTGCCCACCGGTCACTGAGGTGTCTTTGGACGAGATATTCCTGTAGGTTCTGGATAATACAGCACGACCATAAAAACCAGAGATAAGATGAAGCGCCTATGCCAGAGATATGGAAAGTGGCAACAATAAAGGGAAGTCGGAGAGACAGAATAAAGTGTGCAATATATATAAGACAAATTGTGAAACCATGTGGCTAGAACTGATATGACTGTGAGGTGGAATAATTTGTGCTCGAAACGTCATCCAGTTGTTAATAATACGTCATTGTGGAATATTTAAAACAAACTCATGTAATATGGAATTACTTTCTACCGCAGTGCCTAATTTCTAAACTTACATTAATGAAAGATGTCAAGTGTCGGAAAAGTTACCTACAATGTATTCGCTTTTGTCATTTAGCCAAAACTGTACAAATTTGTTGTTTAGGACCCCACAGAAACTCAACGAGAAATTCTTCTTTTTCGGAGTAATTGACATAACAGATATTTATTTCTAGCTCTGGAATATGACTGAAGCTGTTTAGAGTTGTCTGAGCCCTGATATGAGATTTTGGTTGCTTAAAACTACAGTTGGTATCATATTCATCGGCAGCATCACTCACTCCTATGGACATTTAAATTGCCTCAAGCTCCTTTCTGATGCTGTAGGTGTAAAGTTGATTTAATCAAGCCGCAAGGTTCCTCTACTAAACTTGCAACTGAGAAGGGGGATTGTACGGATCGGCAGAAGCTATGCCGAAGTACCGTACCAGCAGTCAGATGCGAAACCCGTTTCAAATTTCTTATTTTCGACACCAAATGCACTGCGGTAGGTAATGAAGTGTTATGTTCGTCATTCTTTAATCAGAGTGTTTCCTCACCTAGCTTCGTATCTCTTCTTGTTCATGTCAACTTTATCCTCATCTGCTCAACTCCAGTAGTAGCTAATGCGCATTTATACTTGTTCACACATCACAGGAAGTTAGCATTCACTGGTTTTGAAGTGATGTTAGTTAGGGAGATTTGTTCGTCTATTTTGAAAGATATTTTTACGAACAGAGACAAGGTAAAGGACTTAAAAAACTATCAAGTCTTCTCTTCTCTTACGATTTCATTTGGAGGTTGCAACTTTCAATCAATCAACCTTGACGGGACTTCAACTAAGACGCTACACCAGCGTGCCGGGACATAATGAAACCAGGTAGGTCAACTTAGTCTAATAATGATCTGTATCTTGATTATCAGAAGGAGGTGGAGGTTTTCGTGGTGGACGTGGTAGGGGTGGACAAAGACATAGCTTTGGTGGTGAGAAAAAGACTGATGGTGATGGTGGTGGTGGCGGTAGAGGGGGACGGTTCAGTGAAAGAGGAGGATTCCGCGGTGGTCGAGGTGGTGACTTCGGGGGCCGCGGCAGAGGCAGAGGACGTGGAGGGTTTGGTCGAGGTACGCCACGAGGTAGAGGTGGCCGTGGAGGAGGAGGAGGAATGAGAGGTGGGAGGAAGGTAATGATAGAGCCCCACAGACACGAGGGTATTTTTGTTGCAAAAGGCAAAGAAGATTGTCTTGTGACAAGAAATGTGGTCGTTGGGGAATCAGTTTACGGTGAAAAGCGTATCAGTGTTGAAGATGATGCTGGGGGAAAGATTGAATACAGAGTTTGGAATCCGTTCAGATCTAAGCTGGCTGCCGGCATAGTCAATGGGCTGGATCAGATTCACATCAAACCAGGCTCTCGTGTGTTGTACTTGGGCGCCGCCAGTGGGACCACTGTTTCTCATGTTTCCGACGTAGTTGGCGAAGAAGGAGTCGTGTATGCAGTCGAGTTTTCACATCGTTCAGGGCGTGACCTTTTAAACGTTGCAAAGCATCGTACTAATGTAGTTCCCATCATTGAAGATGCCAGACACCCGCACAAATATCGAATGTTGGTTGGTAAGTTGAGTTAAGAAGTTAATATTCTCAAGGTATGGTGGATTGTATATTTGCCGATGTTGCTCAGCCTGACCAATCGAGGATAGTTGGTGTTAACGCAGAGTATTATTTGAAGAATGGTGGTCATGCCGTTATATCTATTAAGGCATCATGCATTGATTCGGTTGCTGCCCCTGAAGTCGTGTTCGCAAAAGAGGTAGATACACTCAGAAAGCTACAGTTCACACCTCGAGAACAAGTTACTCTGGAACCGTTTGAGCGCGGTCATGCAATGGTGACAGCTCAGTATAGGTAAGTTGTCATGTATGTTTAGATTTTCTTCTTCCCATAGAGCGCCAAAGAAAGTGAAAACCGAACAATCATAAATGTATTTGCAACATATGTACATAAATATAAGTTTTCATTTGTATGACCGTGTATTTTAGAAGTATTTAGCTTTGACTTTGATCTCTTAAAGATCAGCTTCTATTGCAAAATGTTTGTCGTAGCTTTTAAGAATGTCTACCAGCTGCGAACCACTACTACGTATATAAATTCGTTTTCTTTGTTATGCGGACCTTATCCGATTTGACAATTCAATGCCATTGTATTTTCTAGAACTGTATGAGGATTGCGGTTCACACTTGTTGGAGTGCTTTGTGTTTTACCAACTTAAATCACAGTATATAACTCAGCCATCATTTACACTAAATGATGCTATTTTTAATCACGATACTTGGAAAACAAGTTCGACCAAACCCCAAGTACGAAGAGCAGTCAGATAGAGCCGTCTTAAAAGTCGCTAGTTATGAAAATAAGGTGACTGTATTTCTAATACCATGAATTAATTCACTGGCTGTGACTGCAATATTTACGCAATGAGTTAAATAGTGGGCTTGGATTAGGAAGTCTGTAGGATAATTTGCTTTGATGTCATGACGAACTTTAGTGAGTGCATTTTTATCCTGACCAACATCTGTTCACTTTCGACTGAGAGTTTTTACAAATTTCCTGCCTGTGAGTACACTGCAACGTATGCTGAGACTGATTAGACTTATGTTAATTAAGGGTTTCATAAATCACAAGAGTGTGTGAGAGACTTTTTAGCTCAGTGAAACGTTGTTTGGTACTTTAGCATATCAGCACGTTTAGCGGACGCGTACAACATGAGTACGTATGCTGTACGAAAATAGCACGCTATTCTGATGTAGGTCCAATGAATGTTGTTGTAGTGCACTATATATTTCTTGTGTCTCGGGATACTGCCGTGGAAATGAGTTGACATTGGTTGTCTGAAGAACTTTTGAGTTAGAGCGACATAGTTTGTTTGAGTGAGTGTATGAATATGCCGATTCTACAGTATCATAATAAAGTACTTATACGTACTAATTGATTAACATTGTCCATGATAACTTCCATAATACTGATTAGTAAGTGAAACATAATTTCTCAAGGTTCTGGAGTAATATACCCATTAGTTGAAGAATAATTGTTAGTGACAACAGTCTTTAGAAACATTTTGTCAGCAAAATAAAAAAACTCAAGAGCAGACTCCTAATGGAATACCGTTCGAAGCCTTACATGTTTGATCATATGCATAAATATGGTACTGAATTGGTCATGCCCTGGTCAACTCAATCGATACAGCTTCACAACCTCATCGATTGGATTTCCCTCCTTACCTAACACTCGAAGCCTAACGTCAATATTACCCTATTATTTTTCGTGAAATAGAATGCAGACACCTATGATCAAAGACAGCTGGCATTTTCATGTCTTCACTTTCAGTGGCCGTGTCTCACTGCTATGTGGAAGGACGGAGGTAACTAACTGGTTTGCAGTACACACGTCCTCTGGTCGATATCCGGATATCGCGTTTATACCAGAGATGGTGTAAGTTGTCAGATGCCACACGAGACTTTTGTATCCTATGTGAGACTTCGTCACCGATCACCCGTTGAGGATGACGTAACTTCCCAAACTAGTTACGTCATCAGCACACTACCATTTCGCTGCCTCTCTTTAAGCTAGGAGTCGATGCAGTCCAGTCCTGTAGCACCATCTTACATTTGTGACAAGCAAATCTCATGACGGCAGGTATGAAATTATATGATGCAGAATAACAACAGGAAAAGTAGCAACAAATGGTGAGATTGTTGTTTCAGTCGAATTTTATTCGATCTGATTATCAGCTTCATATGAATAAATAGTGACAAGGAGAGAAAATGAGGATAGATTAGGAAAATGACAGGTTCTAATGTACAAGTGTAAAAATACGCAAAATAAATCAATAATATATAGGAGGGTAATACCGTCTGTGCATACAGGATGAAAGGTTATACGTAAAAGGAATGAAGTGATGAATTAGCTGTGAATTTGTAGAATCCACAGTAGATCAGCGTACCAGTAGTGACTAGACTTTTTCCTTAGTATACCGAGTTCCGACTATCTCGAGTGTATTGCCAAGACTTCTGTTTCTTGAAGTATTTGGGAATTTATTCGGTACACGAGTGATAGGGATTCTGTAGTATTGAATTAATGGTCTTTTTGGATTGCATGAGCTAGTATTGCAACTGTAAATGCTTGTTTATTACACCTCTACTTAGCCACATAGGTAGGTGTTCACAAGTGCGACTTACTGACTTTTGCTAACTATAATGACTGATTAATTTATCTTTATCATGTTAGAAAACTAGCATCTTGGTTTCTGTAGGTAAAAGTTGAATTCGTTCAGGTGTTAAATCGATTGGCTGGAGTGAATTTAGGATATTAATCTAATGTTCCTGACACTTAGTGCCTATATAATCAGTCTTATTAATCGATGTTCAACCGATTGCTCCTGTGAAATGTTGGTCACAGTTGCACACTGCATTGCTTGCAAGCAGAAAAAGGTTAGACGGGTTGGGATATCAGCAGTCTTCGCAAACTGTAAGTAGTTTACACCATGGCAGAAATGTTTCAAAGCAACAGTGTGACAAGTCTTAGGTGTTTCGTTCTAGTAACCATTTATTTCATCCTTCAACGAAAGGCGTTAAAGCTCTATATATCCTTTGGGGAAAAGCTATTAAAGCTTATGGACTCAGATGCCCCGGCTTAAAACACCGTGATTGACCAGTCTTCAACCAAAACCTTATAATCACTCCAGAAAAAGCTTTAGGAGAACATGGATTCCGAAGTCTCTAACCCAAGTAGCACCGATCACTTAAAGACTCCGTACCAGAATATTCGGCTAGTCATCATTATCAGGTTTTCTTACTTGCACCTTTTACTTATCAACGTATATTGAAGCTTTTTGTTAATAACTGGTTTCTCTGCAGTGCATTTATTGATTAGCGAAGCAGTATCATCTTTGTGTTTGTATGGAAAAGCGGAATAAATTATTAACCTCACTTTTACCATAATTATAACCCTTTCATCTTCTCCATTTTTTTATTGAGACCAATACTAATACGCCTCACTAGCCAAAACTTTGGTATCTCAACCTATAGATGTGATATTGTAAAGGTCATATTGATTGATGCCTAAATTTTAACAAATATTTTAGTTTTCAAGTATTGGTTTTGTACGGATTTTGTTTGATTGCATGGAGGATTTCATTATGAGCTGACATCAGTTAGAGAACCACTGGAAAGCCTGGGAGTACTGGACAGTTGTTTCGTCCTAGTTTGAGTCCCAAATTAGGGTTTCTCAACATGATTTGACCATTGAATAAAAGTAGAAGCGTCTTGAAAAGTGTCAGTTTTGTGAATAGCTTGGTGGTCGCATTATCTGTCGCAGCAATTTATTTAATAGACATTTGGAAGGGAAACTATAAAAATCACTTGGGAAGTATTTTAAAATCAGCCTCCCAAGATATTTTTAAAAAGCCATTAGACTCATAAGAAAATTTAATGGTTTTGAACATGTTCAGACTGTAGATGAAGAGGTCATTATAAGATGCCTACATATATTGAATATTAAGGTGACTGTTAATGAGGTAGTAAATCGAGAACTTGATAGTGTGATAATGAAACAACTGATTAATGATTTTTCTGAGTTACTGTAATACTATAATGTCACGGTAATGTGTTAATATATTATCTAACGAAGATCTACAACACATCATATTTGAGTTTTTCTGAAAAGTAACTAAGTTAGTACAAGTGGCTATCATTTTGTAAAACTACATGTTCGAAAGCCAGTTTACCAACTCATGGAACAGGTCGTTGATGTCTTAAGCTATAAGTTAAACTTATTATGTGAGGGTTGAAGTAGGTGGGAAGAAATTCGAATTCACGACCCAATGTCTGAAAATTGAGTGCTTAAGCTGGTCAACCACGTCTAGAGAGTTAATCTACGCACAATACTGAAATAAAACCCTACTCAATGACGTAAATAAAGTTGGTAAACACGAAATATAGGTTCCAGTAAAAACAAAACGAAGATATATATATATATGTATTTACGTCGTATGTAATATTGTTATGTACATATAGGCAAATCCCGTAGATGTCTATGATGGTGGAGCAAATACTCGAAATCGATGATTCAATTGTTCCTGGACATGAAGACGACTTGCATTTGTGAATGCACCTCTTTCTTTAAGCCGTTGACAACAAAAAACACGTCGGATACGATTGTGCAGCAATGCCATACCACACATTAAACAAGGTTCAAGTGATACATAGGCATCTAAACCTGTACACAAATAGATTTCAGAATATTCTTTCTCTGGTTTTTTCTTCAAATTAGCAACAGCTGATACAACAAGTAATACAGCATGATCTAAACATGAACTGTCAACTGTTGCTGTAGATGTAGTGGATTCAGCTAAAGCCACATTGGTTTCTGGATTGACAATGATTGCTGCACATGGTGGACCTCCGAAACCTGCACATGATTGTGGGTGGGTGCTAGATAAATTTGTTGATTTTTCTGATAACATGGTGACACGTTTAAGCCATGATGAATGTCTAAAAGTAATAAAAAAGAAAGATTAATTTCTTCATAAGCAATCAACTTTAGAAGACTCATTTATTAGATGGTTGAATGTGAATACGCTTACAAAAGCAGATAATGAACTTATTGATAAGGGAATAAAGTGTGGCATTCAACTTTGTGATTCATTACTGTTCTAGTGAGCTTTGTTGTTCAATTTTTAAACCAAGTGGCATTTAGATAATAACCCTGATAACTAATACCTTTTTCAGCTTCATAAGTGTTTAGAATTCCCCTAGTAATGATACTTGATTATGACAGTCTCATTCCCGGATTAAATGACTTTATTATGAATAACTTGGTTTAACAACCAAGTTTCAGCAGTTGCTTTGAACGACATGTTATTTTCTGGATGACGTTAAGACATAACTATGAACACCAAGTACGTCAGTGACACAGCGGTAGAATGCTCGCCAACCACGCAGGTGGTCCGGAGTTCGATCTCCGGCCACCGACGCACCCGTTCACCTCGCTAAGCCAGTAGTAAGACTGGTAAAGAGGGAAGGTTGGACATGAGGCTAGCAACCCCATCTCGTAGAAATAAATACCACTGCTACTGAAACTTCAAAGCTCTAGCTTGAAGCCCTATGTTCCACAATGGGAACGTACAGGAATTAAAAAGAAGGAACACCAAATTGTGTTTGAGTAAAATAGACTATCATGACTGAGAACATCTTCAGGTACCATTTCATGTCAACAGTTTCGAAATATATAGGTAGCAGATTGCTACAAGATAAGTGCCGGCCTATACTTACTTACTTTACTTCGGCTATCTCCTATGGGAGGATGAGCCGGCTTCATGAACATCTCGAATAAGAGAGTTCATGAAGTTTCATGGGAATTTGGTACGAGTGATGTCCCCAGAATCGCTCGGCCTTTTGTTTGAGAGTGCAGCTCTAGCCTTTACACAACCAAGTGTGACCTACAAGGCAGTAGGAGTGGAGTAGGGAGTCCACTATCCATTGGCAGCCGGTGACCGGAGTTCGGTTCATACGCCTTTTTGAATGGGGCCAGACATCCAGGACATCCAACAAGCCCTTTCTCCATACGTCTGCCGGTGAGCTCCAGTGAGCTTCATACGCCAGTCGTTGGAGGTTTGGAATCAGGGTTTAGCCATCTCCCCTAGACTGTCATCTAATGGACAGTCAACCCGGTGAAGAGCGCCGGGCATCCGCTTCCACCCTCTCACTTTGGTGAGAAACACCTCCGCCACGTGAAGGCAGTGAGTAGGACTTCCTCAGGAGAGGGTATGTAAGACGCCCGGTCATATGGGAGCATTTCAAGAGGTGTGCGGAGGGGTGGCCAACCCGCAGCGCAAGGCACCCACCCCCGACCATCCTGAGGCCTATATCGCAATATCACGACCTTTGATATCAAGGTAACTTCATAAAGACCTATTGACTGTGGTTTTCACAAGCTTGTTATATTCGTTCCCTTAAGCATTCAAAACATACTCAGTTAAAGATAATCCTTTTGCTTATTAATATAATTAGAAATTGACAAGTACCTCTCAAATATTACTCCCCATCGTGCATATCAGTTTACGTTTTAGAGAAATTGTGACGCACCAACAGATGCCAACCCAACCCAACTACACCTCTCATTCTAAGATAACTAGTTATGAATGACCTCCCACCTCCCAACTTTTTGTGTTTAGTACAACCTTCTAACTTTTGAGCCTAGTAAGACAGCTGAGTTGGACGCCAATACCATAAGAAATTTCCTTTTTGAGAAATTATCTACAGGCATAAATTGGGATCTTATGTGCAAGGCGTTGAGATGCAACATACATCAATAATGAAGTTTTTCAGGGTTCTATTAAGAGTTGCCGGTCATACGCGTCGTATTACTGTGCAAAAGTTAGGAGTATTAGATGCCACAGTAGAGGACAGCTTTCTAGGAGGAACTGTTTAGAGACTCAAAACAACACAAATGTACATATTATAATTTCAAACAACGATAAGGGCTGACGAGAATGAGGATAATTACGAATGTAAAAATTGTACAAATAAAACAAGACAATTCATGCATGTGAATAAGAATAATGATAAAGAAATGGATTCTTTATAAAATGGTATAAATGCGACTGTTTGAAGAAGTGTGGAATGAAATCAAAACTTTTATGGAGTATTTGTTTGATGGTTTTTCTCAAACGTCCACTTCCTGAGCTGATTCAAAAAGTAGAAGACTGATGTTACCAGTAAAAAAAAAACACGGCAAGTTCATGCACTATTTGTTCCCATCTAATCCTGAAGCACACGTGTAGCACTGAGCTTTCCAAGACCTTTTTTCAACAGCTACTTAACGTTTACACGTAATTAGCATCGGACGTTCACAGTCGCTCATATGACAATAACCTCTTCCACGTGGTCATAGTGTGGCGAGTGCTAATGATAAGATTTACCAGTAGTATATGAAGAGACGTTCAGCAGCGTTAAAACAGCAAATAGCAGGGAGATACATTTGATTTCAGAGAAGGTAAATCAAACAGCGTTGTGGAGATATATCGGAGATGTGAAAGGGACACAAAGAAGCACAACATGAAGTCAAGAAGTACCATAACAGGAAGATCTGTGAAAATGGTGCGTTGAAGATAAGTTATACATAATTTGGCTACATAGAGATACCAATTCTCCTAATGAACATTCCTTAACCAAGTGTTTCCTCTTCTACCGTTTCAATAGTAAAGAAGACTTACCTGGTACAGGCTATCAATGCATGATCATTTAAGAACACTTCAAGAAGAGGACTATAGTTTATTCACTTCAGATCATGTTACGCAGTTCATACTGACTTTTCGCGTATAAAGTCAACGATTTCATCTCTTAATGTATTCATCAACAAAGAGACCGCCGTTATGTTAACCATAGTCACAAAAAGTGACTCTTTCAAGACACTTCAGTCGTAATTATAAATCATGTCTAACTGACTGGTTTCAACGTAGAACTTTGCACAGATGTGCAGCAGTTCAAGTCGCCACACTCCATGTAGCACACAAAGCAAGAGTAGAGAGCAGAAGAAATGCATAATATAGACAGTAAACAGGGATATGAGACAAAAGGAATAGTAATAACGAAGACCAACATAGTTTTATTGGAAATTGTAAGTTACAAGGAGTGGATGCATCTGCGCCAGCCATTGAGAACGATTTTGAGCCATATCACCAATTGTCTCCAGCCGTCATTGGTTTTCACCGTCCCGAGGACCCCAACCAGTCAGGAAGTCTACATCTTCCTACGTGGCTTAAACTAACTCTTGTGGATTTCATTGACTGGTGCCATGTTTTGGTTTGACCACCATGTGCTAGCTCTTTTCCAGCCTGACCCTATATCAGCTAACATTGCCCGTCGAGGAAGGCGATGACTAGGCATACGTAACACATGTCCTAACCATCTCAGTCGATGTAATTTCACAGCCTCGTCGATTGATTTCCCCTCTTTACCTAGCACTCGACGCCTAACCTCAATATTGCCCACCCTATTATACCACTTCACACGGGAGATAGAACGCAGGCACCTCTGATCAAAGACAGCTAGCCAACCTTTTTATGTCTTCCACTCTCAATGGCCAGGTCTCACAGCCATAGAGGAGGACGGAGTGGACTGCTGAGTAGTACACACGTCATGTATTTAATAAACACTAATGTAAGAGTAGAATTTGGTCACTAGGGTCAAATATAGTTCCATAGTAGATAAGTTTATTTAATATACTAAATAATAATACATTACTACTATTATAAGTGGATGAAATTTCAAGTACAGTTTATTGCTCATAGTCGTACCAATGTATTCACACGAACTGGTAACTCGGTAGGGTGAAAACATTAAAACTAATATAGTTAGGTAGAGAGAGAGAGAAAGAGAGAGGCCAACCGCCGAATCTTTGTTCCATTTGTTAAGCACTAGGTAGAGACTATTGTCATGCGTGTAGGTCATTGTTTGGTGTAGACTAAATTCTATCAGCCAAATTTGCAATATAAGCCACCATGCTAGGTGGCTCGCAATCATAGTGAACTCTAAATTGTTGTTATTAGATGCCTGGAGGTAATCGACAAGAAACCTTCAACCTAGGTGTTGTGCTTGTTAACACTCACTAGTCATTAAGGCTTGTCTGCAATCTTGAATGGACTCATGTCCCATCTGAGACTCGAACCCGTGTCACCCAGTGTGTTGCAGTCAGCGACGAAACTTACGTCCAAGGCATCCTGCCAACTGTTTCTAATAATCATCTAATAACAACGATTCGCAGTACACTGTGATGGTGAGCCACCTTGCATTATGACCATATTGCACATTTAATTGATAGAATTCTGTCTACATCAAACAGTGGACTAGACACATGCCATTAATTAATATCTAGTGTCCAATCAAGGTATACAATAAAGTCCTACAGGAGGTCACTCGTGCAAGCCTGAATAGCTCAATGGTAACGTCTCTAACTTCAGCACTGGGTATGTGGTGAGAGATGGTTGCTAGCCAAATTGGTTGACAGTAATTGAGGTCAATGTTTATGTATCAAATATTAGTCATGTGAAAACAAGGTCAAAGATGGACAGCAGACAGTTAACATATAGATGAACTGACACAGCCACGAAGAGATGCAAGGTTAACTTTGTGTGCGAAACAACCAATCAAAAGACTGTATTTTCTACTAGCATTAATCTACAATAACGTATATTAAAATCTATAAATATGTGTTGATTTTCCATAATAAACGTTCTGTTGCCCGACTCTTGCCTTCTGTCGTTACAGGTAACGCGGGTTAGAATGTCAGAAGGGAAATGAATCCCTTCAAGGATGCAGATAAGCCTTGCTGACGAGTGTCAACAAGTACGAAATCTAGGTTGAAGTCTTTCTATCGATTACCTCCAACCATTGAATAACAACAATTCAGAATATTCGTTCATCGAATCAACACGTAACGCCTACATCCACCACATGGAAAATTCCTTTAAAAACGAGAGTAGGATTATGCAAAGTTATCGAGTCATTTGATATATATAGTGATATGATTATGAGCAGCAATAAATTGTCCTCGAAAAGTCATCCAGTTACTAACACGATATCTGATAAAATTATCATCAGATATGGAATCTGATATCCTTTAGTTAGTATACATCACACATATGTGTTACGAACATAATACATAATAAAATATTTATAAATCTTACAAAATCAATTACCTTTCCAACTCTGATTTTGTAAAATACGATGAAGTTAATGTATCTTTTCCAACCATTAGTAATTCTTCCAACTCAGGAGAAGCACGTAGTGTACACGGCCAACCCATAACTATCGGTTGACGAGATGATGATGAATTCACCAATGAAAAACTATTTGCGCCTTCTGATGAAGTCTTTGAGCAAGAATAAAGTGTTTGATGCTTTCGTGTCAGTGGGGCATGAAGTGGTAACCAGCATGGGGTTGGGGTAGTGGTGATTATATTGTCATTATTTCTATCATTATTCTTATCATCAGATGAGTTGATATTCAATGAATCAATCATAGAGGTTATAGTCTGACTGGCATCTAACCACGTATAGCTGGGATAAAATAATAATAATAAAGAATTAATAAGTAATCATAAGGATGATATTGGCTTCATTCAGAAAAATGCCTTGGACAATGATATAATGAAATAAATTTACTAACTGAAGAGAAGAACAAGGCAAGTTTAATCACCTTACTGATCAAACAGAAATCCCTACAAAACCAATACTTGAAAATTAATCTAATGCTCACTGGTGACTGGCCCTATTCAGGCAGTTAACCTGGGGTTCTAGTGGAAAGCCGTGACCAGTAGGGTACAGCAGGTTGAAGATGAGGAAGTAACTCATCGAAGAAGACATTGCGAAATGGTCGCGCTATGTCGTGAATTGGCAGAAGTTAGAATTCAAGGACCATTGGATCGGGTCCCAGTGGCTCAATGGTCTACGAGCTGGCCTTGTAACCAGAAGGTCCTGAGTTCGAATCCCGGTGGGTGCGTACTAATGAAGAGTCCAAAACTAGGACGAAACAGCTGTCCAGTACTCCCAGGTTTTCCAGTGGTTCTCTAACTGATGTCAGCTCATGATGAAATCCTCCACGCAATCAAACAAAAATCCCTACAAAAGCAATACTTGAAAATTGCTGATATTAGTTAGACAACCATCGAGAGACGAGGAAGTACTGGACAGACGTTTCGTCCTAGTTCCAGGACTCTTTGGCGATATGCACACCCACCACCAGTGTTCGAATCGGGTCCCAGTGATTGAATGCTTTACGAGCTCGCCTTGTAACCAGAAGGTATTGCGTTGCAGCCCCGGTGGTTTCATGGATGCGTACTGCCGACGACGAGTCCCAAAACTGGGACGAAACAGCTGTCGAGTACTCTCCCTAGTGGTTTTCAATGGTTCTCTGACTAATTTCAATCCGTGATCAAACTTGAAATAAGATCAAGCTGTAAAGATATAAGAATAAAACTTGGGCACTGTGGTAGAGTGTAATTCCATTCTGGGTAAATTTTATTTTGATAGAGTCTCACAGTGTTATACAGTAATATTTACTGATGACGTTTCGAGCACAATTTATTGCTCATAATCATATCAAGTTAATCACACGACTTCCTAAATTCATTTATATAGTTCCATTGTTTTTCACTTGATTTTCACTTGATTTGATTGGTAGTAATATTTTCCATATTTCAGGTATGAGTGATGATTCATTCCTATTGCATGTGTTGGGTGTAGATTCGATGAACAAAGATTCAGTAATCAACCTCTCTTTCCACCTACCTAGATTACTTTTTAGAATTTTAACCCTCTCCCACCCTATTGTGTGGTTGTGTGTCAATGCATGCATTGCAATTGCCGAGCTTTTTTCTAAATTACTTATCTTCTCTGGGTCAACCATTCTTACCTTAGCTAAATTCTTATGTTCTGACAATCTGACTACCCCTGACCTACTAGTTTGACCTATGTAGTTGACCTCACAGTCATTGCACGGTATTTTGTAAATTATATTATTTTGTCTAATTGGGTCCACTGGGTCCTTTAACCTACAGAGCCTGTCCCTGAGTGAGTTTGTAGGTTTAAATGCCACTCTAATTCCTGCCTTATTCAGAATCCTACGTAGGGTCTCAGATGTCCCCTCCTTATATGGTATAACAGTGGATGACTTATATTCTCTCTTATTTATGTTATCATTACTAGTTCCATAATTATTTTTATTTTTATTTTGTTTTTGGCCTTTAGTTATCTTCCTAATGAATTTTAAAGGATAATTATTCAACACCAACGCTTCTTCTATTTGTTTTATCTCGTCGTTTAGGTCTTTTTTTGTGCTACTTAGTGCTATGGCTCGGTTTGTTAGACACTTAACTAAGCCTGCCTTGACAGTTAACGGATGCGACGAATTAAAATCTAAATATCTATTAGAATGCGTTGGTTTTCTATACACACTAGTGTGGAGTTTACCTTCTTCTATTCGTTTTATTTTACAATCTAGCATAGCTAACTCTCCTTGTTCATCTTCCGATTCAAATGTGAATTTTATCCCCTCTACTAGTGAGTTAATATGTGTCAAGAAGCTAGAGATATGTTCTGCTTTTAACACTGTGAAAGTGTCATCCACATATCTCCACCATATTTTTGGAGTAGGATTAAACGTATTAAGTGCCATATTTTCCCAGCTATCCATAAATATATCTGCTACGATAGGGGATATTGGTGATCCCATCGCTACACCTTCAGTTTGTCTATATATTTTGCCTTGGAATTTAAATATAGTAGATGTGAGGCATAGCTGAATTCCTAAAATAATTTCTTCAATGGACAGCTTTGTTCTATGATTGAGTTCAGCATCTGTAGTTAGTTCCTTTTTAACTGCTTCTAAGGCCATATTGACTGGTATATTAGTATAAAGACTAGTTATATCAAAACTAACCATTGTTTCATCATTATCTAGTTGTATGTCATTTAGTTTATTTTTCATTTCATATGAATTAGTTAGTCTAGAATTTGAACGATTTCTAATGGGGCATAATATTAGAGCTAGATGTTTTGATAATTCATATGTAGGGGTATTTCTAAAATCTACTATTGGTCTTATGGGATAACCTGGCTTATGTATTTTAATAGTACCATACATCCTACTAGCATTATTAGTTTTAGGCATTAAATTAAACCATTTTGACTCACCCAGTGACGGCTTCATTCTGCGCACTAATTCCGCTGTGGATTTTTTAACCTTATTCATTATTGTGTCTACGGGCTTCTTAATTTCCTCATATGGACCCATTTCAATATGTTCATTGACTTTCTTGATGTAGTCAGATTTATTCAAAACTACGGTGGCGTTTCCTTTGTCAGCTTTTGCGATGACAATATTTTTATCCTGTTTTAGATTAATTAAAGCTTCTCTTTCCGATTTTGTCAAGTTTGATTTTGCCTTCTTTTGATTTTTTAGGGTTAATGCACATCGTGCTCGAACCTCTTCTGCTGTTGTTTTATCTATTGAACCTAGTGCTACTTCTATGTTAGGAATGACATCCTCTGGTTTTAGTTCATTAACTGTTACGTTGAAATTTAGCCCTTTCTCCAGTACTTTTATCTCACTGGAGCTTAGTTCCCTTGATGAGAGGTTGATCACCCACTTTGTTTTGTCGATAGAGGATGAAGCATTGACATTCATTCATCCTCTATCGACAAAACAAAGTGGGTGATCAACCTCTCATCAAGGGAACTAAGCTCCAGTGAGATAAAAGTACTGGAGAAAGGGCTAAATTTCAACGTAACAGTTAATGAACTAAAACCAGAGGATGTCATTCCTAACATAGAAGTAGCACTAGGTTCAATAGATAAAACAACAGCAGAAGAGGTTCGAGCACGATGTGCATTAACCCTAAAAAATCAAAAGAAGGCAAAATCAAACTTGACAAAATCGGAAAGAGAAGCTTTAATTAATCTAAAACAGGATAAAAATATTGTCATCGCAAAAGCTGACAAAGGAAACGCCACCGTAGTTTTGAATAAATCTGACTACATCAAGAAAGTCAATGAACATATTGAAATGGGTCCATATGAGGAAATTAAGAAGCCCGTAGACACAATAATGAATAAGGTTAAAAAATCCACAGCGGAATTAGTGCGCAGAATGAAGCCGTCACTGGGTGAGTCAAAATGGTTTAATTTAATGCCTAAAACTAATAATGCTAGTAGGATGTATGGTACTATTAAAATACATAAGCCAGGTTATCCCATAAGACCAATAGTAGATTTTAGAAATACCCCTACATATGAATTATCAAAACATCTAGCTCTAATATTATGCCCCATTAGAAATCGTTCAAATTCTAGACTAACTAATTCATATGAAATGAAAAATAAACTAAATGACATACAACTAGATAATGATGAAACAATGGTTAGTTTTCATATAACTAGTCTTTATACTAATATACCAGTCAATATGGCCTTAGAAGCAGTTAAAAAGGAACTAACTACAGATGCTGAACTCAATCATAGAACAAAGCTGTCCATTGAAGAAATTATTTTAGGAATTCAGCTATGCCTCACATCTACTATATTTAAATTCCAAGGCAAAATATATAGACAAACTGAAGGTGTAGCGATGGGATCACCAATATCCCCTATCGTAGCAGATATATTTATGGATAT